TTCTACTAACTTGCTTCTTCTAACATGTCATGTGAACCAAGAAATCAGAAAATAAGTTTATTAGTCCTTATAGCCCTATGTACTTAGCAAAGTACAAAAGCTTTAATTCACATTTTCTTGTCTGTTCAGTGGTCTTCGTCTTTTCTTTCCAATGCCCAGTGATATTTGAAGAGGGGGGGAGCCCTATAATTTACATATGTAGCACAAACCCTCAGAAATTTGTTTATTTAGAAGACTTGACTTTTCTTTGAATAGTAGTTCTCTTTAAAGATTATCTTTGAGCCAGGCACAGTGGTACATTCGCATGATACCAGCCTGTAATCCCAGCTACTTGGAAGGCTGAAGCAGGATGATCAAACATTAAAGGCCAACTTCAGCAACATGGCGAGACTGTCTCAAAATAAACTAAAAAAGGCTGGGGACATAGCTCAGTGGTGGAGCATGTGCCTAGAGTGTGTGAGGCCCTGGGTTCAATCTCCAGTATAGAGGGGGGGGGGGGGGGGGGAAGATGACCTTTATCTTTGGCTACAAACACAAAGTTATTAAAGGATTACTTACAAAGTGATCTAAATATTCTATTTAAAATAATTTTCTCAGAGAAATACATGTTAAGAAATCCAGAAAAATGTACAAAGTAATAAGTAAACCACAAACCTCTCTACTCTGGCTATTCTTTACAATCTGATACATAATGGAGAAAATATGCTAACAGTATTGAATCATGCAGAAAATAAGTTTACTAGCCCGAAACAAAAGTTTAATAGCCCCCAAAAAAAACTTTAATTAGAAAGAGACCAGCAGAGTAGGAGAAGGGAATCAAGGGGCTAAGGGACAGACAGTAGGGCAGAAGAAGGGAATCAGAGAGAGTGAGGAGGAAAGGGAAGATACTGGGGATTTAAATATAGGAAATCATGTTATGAACATGTACAAATTTTTCACAATGAGTTCCACTATTATGCATAATGATAATGTACCAATAAAAATTTTAAAAGAAAAAATCATTTATTAAAGTACAAGCTAGATACACAATGGAGTATTACTCTGCATTAAAAAATGACAAAATCATAGAATTTGCAGGGAAATGGATGGCATTAGAGCAGATTATGCTAAGTGAAGCTAGCCAATCCCTAAAAAACAAATGCCAAATGTCTTCTTTGATATAAGGAGAATAACTAAGAACAGAGTAGGGACGAAGAGCATGAGAAGAAGATTAACATTTAACAGGGATGAGAGGTGGGAGGGAAAGGGAGAGAGAAGGGAAATTGCTTGGAAATGGAAGGAGACCCTCAGGGTTATACAGTGGAGGGGGTAGAGAGAGAGGAGGGGAGGGGAGGGGAGAGGTGGGGAGGGGGGATGGTGGAGGATGGGAAAGGCAGCGGAGCACAACAGACACTAGTATGGCAATAAAAAAATAAATAAATAAATAAAAAAGTACAAGCTAGAAAACAGAGGACATTTTGCTAGCATATATAATTGTACTTTTTTTGTTCTTAAAATATCAGTCATAAATTAGATATGATTTATAATTACAAAAGAGAAATTAAGTATAAAACAAGAGGTCAACAGAAAATCTCTTAGTCTGAATTTAAAACTTTTTTCCTAAGTAACTGCAGAAGATTATTCATAACATCTGATTTTAACCAAATTACTAAAACAAACACTTCTTTCATAACTAAATATCGAAAGATAAGTTATATGACACATTGTTACTAAAATAAGGTAAAATCCATAAGACTAGATTAGATGTCAACTAAAAATAATTTTTTCTGCTAGTATTATATAAAGAATTAGAAATTCAGATAAAAATATTATCTGAATTTTTTAATATTTTACTTTAATTATTGTCAAATTTCACACAATGGCATAATTAAAACATTTCTAATTTATTTCTACATGTTATTATTTTTCTCTATTTATACCACAGAATTAATACGATAGGATATATGTGTTTAGTAAAACAAGCCTGTTTAATAACAATAACAGCAGCAACATTTTCTATGTACCAGACTGCGTAAGCATCTTAGTGCACAAATGCCCTTAATATTCACAATTACCCTATGAAATAAGTACACTCATCATTTCATTTTAAGAGGAAGAAGCTGAGGGTTAAAGAAGGTAAATAGCTTTGCGTGATTCACAACATTGGAACTCCTATACTAACAAAGGCACATAATTCCATGTCACTAAACTGGATTAACTCCCATTTTAGATATTTTATTTTAATACTTTATAAAGCATTTCCTAATGCTATCCCTTCACAACCAACACCACCCAGTTTAAAAATAAAACAAAAATAATCGGAGAACTCACCAATACCTCAAATTCGCTGAAATAAAATCTATTTGTGGTTTTATGTCTAAGAGTTAAGCAGTAACATATTTTGTTGACATGCTTCAGAAGTACAGTATGCAAGAAAAAACTAGACAGCCCAAAAACATTTCTCCTAAATTGCCAGACAAGACTTGTAACAAATAATGTTTATGTAAACAAGTATCTTTAACATGTGTTTGAGATTCTATATAATTTTTTTGTTTTGTTCTTTTTAGTTATACATGACAGTAGAGAAGATTCTATATAATTTTTAAATAATGAGAATAAAAACAAATCCCCTCCCACTACTTCCAAGCTTCCAAGAAGCCCAAGTAAACGAACCTCCCAAAAAACCCATATATTTAGTTGCAATGAAAACCAACTGAACATAAAACCCCAACACATTTTTTTTTTTAGAAATTTTTTTTTTCAAAGAGAGAGAGAGAGAATTTTTTATTTATTGTTTTTTTAGTTTTCGGCGGACACAACATCTTTGTTTGTATGTGGTGCTGAGGATCGAACCCGGGCCGCACGCATGCCAGGCGAGCGCACTACAGCTTGAGCCACATCTCCAGCCCACCCCAACACATTTAAGTAATTTTGTTTTGCTTACACAATGAAGCTCAAAAATAGTCCCTGAATGTCTTCCTCTGGCAAAAAAAAAAAAGATTTTCAGTAGTTCACATACTATTACATTTCTTCTACCAAAGTAGGAATAAAAACTTTTAGTTCATTTTTTGCTTCTTATTAACATTTAATGAGATCTTTAAAAAAGAACATAAACAAACAATCAGAAGCTGGAATCTGAAAAATAAGGGCTTATATGAGTCAAAGAACTATATTAAGAAGTAACACGTTCCATGTAACTATTCCTAAAAAACAGAACAACCCACATTACCTATGAAAAGGAAATGACAGTTTAAATATGAAGGCATAGATTTACTATAGGTCTTGCACTTATTTTCAGTATTTACATTTCAACGATACCTAGAATAATAATATTTTGCATTATAGCATGTTTAAATTTTATTTTGATAGCAACTATAAGAATTAAGCAGGTTTACTCATATTTTTTGATAACAACTTAAGCTACATTTTATAATCTAAATCTTACACAATGACTCCAGGAAACTTAATTACTATATTGTCACCAAATGGTTAAAAACATTTCAGACACAATTCATTTCCCAAATTTAGGTTTAATAGACTACTTTCTTCCTGAGGCACTACAGATCATTTCTTTACAATCCATGAGAAATTAATCTTTGTTAGAAACTTTACTGAAGCAGGAGGGGGGGAGGGAAGAGAAAGAATGAGGGAGATGGGGGAGGGGAGAGAGGAGAGAATGGGAGAGAGAGAAAGGGGGGAGAGAGAGAAAGGGAGGAAGGGAGAAAGCACGGGAAGGAGGAAAGGAGGAGAGAGGGAGAGAGGGAGAAAGAAATATGTTTACCACAATGTGGACTTGTAAAATGCTCTGGATGAAATTAAAATTCTTTTAAATAAAAAGCACAGTCACATGTTTGGGAATATCTGTACCAACAAAAAATCCAGCTTAATTTTTTTTGCGGGGGCGGGTACCAGGGACTGAACCCAGGAGAACTTAACCAATGAGTCACATTCCCAGCCCTTTTTATGTATTCTTTTGAGCCAGGGTCTCATTAAGTTGCTTAGGATCTTGCTTAATTGCTGAGATTGGCTTTGAACTCACAATCATCTTGCCTCAGCCTCCCAAACTGCTGGGATTACAGGTGTGTGCTACAAGTCCAACTCAGTTTAACTTTCAACAGAGACTAAACACTATTACACCAATAAACTAAAATCTAAAACTAAGGATAAAGCAAAATAAAGAGAATAGTGTAGAATCTTAAAAAGCTAAGATGCTAATAACATAAAATCTTCTATTTCTATTTTAAAAAGCAGATTTCTAATAATGAGAACATATTAAACTATTCTGCTTAGGATTAAATAGAAACAACTATTTAAAACAACTAAAATAATGAGGCCAACACACACTGACAGAATACAAAAATCACCTATCCAACTTTGTACAATTCTCTATAAACCTGAAATAAATGAGTTATTATTTTAACCAAAACACCATCACTGTCTTGGGGGCATCATACATCCATTAATGAATACAAAATGGCACTATAACCTAAAAATTGAAGGTTAGTAAAGAAAAAGTTATAGTTAAGTTATAGGTAACTTGAATTAAGCATGAAATAAAATCAAACAGACAAAAGAGAGCCACAATTTTTAAAATACATAACTGAAACTAATGTAATATTTGGAGAAATCTCATATGATAAGCAGAGTGATCTAATTCTGGAAGTTCAGTGGCATGCACTACATAAGAGATGACAAGTGGTTTCCTGTGCCAATGTGATTATTGCTATTGCTTTACATGGAAAGGGGGGTAATTTTTGTTATTCCTGGCAAAATATTAACAGATGGCAACTAGCTTAGAAAAGTGGAGGCCATTAAGAACAAATTGACAAACCCAACATGTTTTTTGGTATACATTCCAAAACCTTTAAGACAATTATCTCCTTCTTCATTTAAAAAAGCTTGTTTTACCGCACAGTGGAAGGGGAATATTAACAGAAAGCACATTTTAATTAAGCATTACTCTCATCAATAGCACCAAATTTGCATGATTCTTGGGATGTCTCTTCTTGTACTTTACTTACCTCCACTGACTGCATCTTGCTCGTCCCCTTCAGGAAATGCAACCTGGCTTGGCAAACTATTCCTAGATCGAGTGACTGTTTCTAACTGGGAAGCCCGTCCCAATAAAGACAGCTCATCCAGCACCTCTCCCTCTTTGGCCTCAAGATCTGATTTTGAAGTGGTTAAGGGCTTTATACTTTCAGGTGCCATTAGCCTATTTGAGTCATTCAAACATGCTACTGTGCCACTGTCCAAGCTCAACACTCGGGCACGAGTCTTGGCACTATTTGTGCTGGAAGTCCGTCGTGTAGCCCTCTTTTTGCCAGTTCCTTCAGGACCAGGATGAGCTCTATGTGAGTGTTCAGAGTCTGTACCCCTTTCCTTATGAATGTGTTTGGTCTTTAGAGCGCTATATCTGCCCTCAGGAGATTGGCACGAATGAGAAGTAGTGCTAGAAGAGCTGTCACTGCTGAACTGATGAGCAGAATGGACACTTGATGCTCTACTCAAGTCACTTTGATCACTAGAATCCTCATCATGACAAAATATAGCACTATGTGGTTTGGTTCCAGAAACACCTCGAAAAGAAACATAGTCCCTGTGTCGACTAGAGTCAAAACTGCTGGCTCGTTTCTTTCCTGTCCTTCTCCTGCCTGACTTGTGGGCAGAGGCTGTCCGGTGGATTAAGCTAGAGGATTTGGGTCGTACATCCCCTTCCTTCTGCTTTCCACCAGTATCTTTACAAACTTTTAAATCCACCAAAGTGACAGGCGTCTCATTCTGCTCTTCTTTATTTTCAGCAGGTTTCTCAGGGGTTGGGTCCTCTGGTGCAATAAGCTCATTTGCATGGGGGTTTTTATTGGCTTCTTCAGATGCAGAGGTGCTGAGCCCTCTCTGGTTGTGCATCTCATCAGAGGCCTGAGAATCCTGGGCCTCAGGAGCCCCACTATTTGTACTCACTTCCAGGGCAGTCTTGTCACTGTTAGTCCTTTTGTCACTGGCACAGCAACTCTTCTCTGAGTCAGCACAGCACTCTTTTTTCTTAGCACTTTTCTTTCCCACTTTAGGAGACTCTTCATGCTCTGACAAGATGCTTTCTATGTGAGTGGAACTAGTCTGCTCACTTTTATAGCTGCTGACAGTACTGTTGGTATCACGGTCTGTGCCGCTACAATAGCTCTCTGTTGACCCGCTACTCCGTGTGCTCAGGCTCCTCAGGCTGTCCATGCTTTTGTCTGCATTTAGAGCTTTGCTCTTCCCACTTTTTGTGGGTGGCTGAGAATTACTGTTTTTCAGATCACCAGCAAGCTGGAATTCCCCAGGTAGACAAGTATTTTCCACCAAGGATTCTTTGGATCCAGAATGAGGTTTTGAAGATTCTAACTCACTTACTGGATCTAACCCACGTCTTTGCTGATAAAGAGGGAAGTCATTCAGTGAAGTATCAGGAAAGGCCACAGCAGAGCTGGAAGTCCGTGGTACACCTCGCGGCCGGTGATCTTTCCTGTAAGAATGTGAATGTAAAGGTACAAGAGAGGCTACTTCTGTGTCACAGGCGCTGGACAGAGACTGATCGATGTGGTGGTGGTGGCTATGACTTGGCAGACTCACTTTGTCACTGAAGTCCCTTGGCAAGTCCTGTCCACAAGAGGACAAAGAAGGCTGAATGGAGATGAAGGAATCATTGGAGACCAGACGGAAGAGCTTCCTATCAGTTGCCAAATCTGTTTCAAACACATATTTGGAAATGTTAACACAGATGTATGTATGCTTATGCATTGTTTAACAATGGAAAGAATTCAAGCCATACAAAAAATCAAGTATAAACAATTTCTCAAGCAGTTCAGTGAATAACAGTTGACCAGTCATTCAAAAGAGCTGATTTCTACTTCATAGCTACACAAAGAAAGCTTTCTACTAATGGAATGAACTGAACTTTCAAATCCAAGTTCTCCAACCAGCCTCAGAAAAGGTTCTGTAGACTATCAATAATAAAATAAGAAGCAAAAAAGAATTTTATTTATAATAGACCTGGATTTCTATGCAAGCTCTAACTTATCAATGAGGTGACCTGGGGTTACTTTTTTGAGCATGCTTCTTCATCTATAAAATATGATGTCAACCTCACTGAGTACTAGTAAGCAAGGAATACTGAGTTCTTCAAATATACTTGGCTTGCCATAGTGCTGTTACAATTAATGGTAGCTACCATTATTTTACCTAACACAATACTAAAATCCTTCTGAAAAACTTATATTATTATTTTACAAATCAACAAAAACCTAGAATATTCGGGAACAGAAAATTACAGGGCTTACCAATCCTTACCAATAATTTTGACATAATGATGCAAGGTATCATACTATTCACAATGATTTAAAAAAAAAAAAAACAGTAATTATAGGACAAGATATTGCACTTTCTCTTTCATCATTCATACAGCAACCCAAAATGCTTTGTGGAAAGAAAAAAAACAAACACATATTCTCCTATATATATGTAAGTCCATTCTTTTAATCCATCATTTAGGGTAGTGATGAGTGATTTGAATTACCATGTATACTATGAAAATAAAATATGAGTAAACCTACCTACATTGTAACTTATCTTGGACTATAGCTTGACAACTGATCTGCACAAACGCTGATCTTTTTACTATATATTTTGACAGACAAGGTGCTTGAATCTGCTTTTAGTTCAATAAAAAGAAGCATTATCTTATTTGTCATAACTGCATAGACAAGAGCAATAATAAATTCTATAGTGAGTCAGATTCTTCTCAGTAGAATCTCAATGTTAAAAGCAGACATTTCTCCCTAGGACTAAAATAAAATGAATTACTAGAAAAGTTTCTGTACCTTTAAAACATCTAAATCTAAATCTGATCTAAATAATTAAAAACTTAAATAGCCTCTAGAATGTACCACATAAATTGTAATTTATAAATGCCCTATTATGCTTTGTTTCAAGATAAGTAAAACCCAAGTTCTTTATCATTTGCCCAAAAGAGTTGTCACTATTCCTCTCTAACTTTCAAAATTTTAAAAAGTTAGCATCTTATTTATTTTGTAATATTAAATTACAATATGTTGGGGGCTGTAGCTCAGTGGTAGAGTGCTTGCCTAGCACATGTGAAATACTGGGTTTGATTCCCAGCACCACATTTAAAAAAAACAAAAACAAAATAAAGGTATTGTGTCCACCTACAACTAAAAATATTTTTTAAAAAATTATAATATGTTATTATGGGGGGACTCTAGATATTTATCTCTTATAAATAATTATCAAGGATATAAATCTTATAGAACAAAAACTTATCCACTAACTCCCTTCTAAGACATTAATGAAGTAGAAATTTCAATTTTTTCACATAACAGCCAATCTTTAATAGACGTATTTTTTTTTTCAATAGGGCTAAACAAATGAAAGGTTTAATTCTGTCCAGAGGAATTTAAGTTGTTAAAAGTGATTCTAGGGGCTGGGGTTGTGGCTTAGTGGTTGAGCACTTATCTAGTGCGTGTGAAGCCCTGGGTTTGATCCTCAGCACCACATACAAATAAATAAATGAAAGTATTATGTCCAACTACAACTAAAAAATCAATATTAAAAAAAGTGATTCTATCACAGTTAGCCATAAAAAAGGAATACATACAACAACACAGTAAATGAAAGAAGCCAGACACAAAAAGCCATGCATTATATAATTCCATTCATATGAAATGTTCAGAACAGGAAAATACATAGAGACAGAAAGACAACTGTTAACTATTAGAGGCTGGCTGAATAAGGAAATGGACAGTACAATGGGTGCAGGCTTCTTTTTATGGTAATGAAATGTTCAGGAACTAAGATAGTGGTAATGGTGCAAAACCTTGCAAATATACTAAAAACCAGTAAACTGGACATTATAGAAGGATAGATTTTAATGTCATGTAAGTTATGTCACAATAAAAAAAGAAGAAAAAGTTAGTTACATACCAAAAATATTAACCAAAGTTTCTCAGTGGCAGATATGTGAATTATTTTCTTCATATGTAACTATATTTTCTAACATAAATCATATTTTCCTCCCCTCTTCTAGATCATTCCCCAACAAATACAATATTATTTCTCTTACAAAATCTAAATCCTTCCTTTATCTCCACTTCCTCTGTAACTATCAATTTATTTATTTTTTTTAAAGGCAATTATTTATTTATTTATTTATTTAATATTTATTGTTTAGTTTTCGGCAAACACAACATCTTTGTATGTGGTGCTGAGGATCGAACCCGGGCCGCATGCATGCCAGGCGAGCACGCTACCACTTAAGCCACATCCCCAGCCCCTGTAACTATCGATTTAGGTCTTTGCTCCCCCTTATAGAAATTCATTAAGAGTATTTTAGTCACTTTCTTTGATTCTTCTCCTGATTCTAAAATTGATTAATCCCACTTCATTAAAACTATGCCTTTCAAGGTTAGCAATACCCTGCACAATGTTAAATTCAATGGACAAGTCTCAGTTCTCATGTCCCTTGACCTATCAGCAACATTTAATAAAACAGATAAATCCATTCTTGAAATGCTGAGACATAAGTCTCAGTTTTACTTCTATTTCATTAGTTGTTCCTTCTGTGTCTCCTGGACTTCTTAAAGTGAACAACTCAGGACTCAGTCCTTAAAATTTTTAATTTGTCTGCCTATACTCCTCCTTGTGTAGATCTCATACGGTTTTACGGCCCCACAATAAACATTCAGAAATTCCTGTAACTAGTTCCTCTATCTTCTACTCAACCTCTCTACAAATATTGGATGGCCTAAAGATCTGATCTTAGATAGGGAAGATATGGGTAAGGCTAGATGGGGACACTAAATAAGTCCTTAGAAGTGAAGAAAAAGAGGATATACCCCCACATAATTAGATTTCTCCTGATAATCTTGAATTATGTTGACAAAAAGTGTGCCAATTAATCAATTAATTGTTAATCAACTAAAAGTTACTCTCTTATAAATCCAAGCCAGCCACCAAGACAACCAGGAGTACAAACAATAATTAATCCAGAACAAAAATTGCCACTAGGTGGTGCCAAACCACAGTCAGGACCAAGAAGGAATTGGATCACGAGGCCAATCCATGTAAACTCAAAACTAGCTAACCCATGATCTATGCCCTGGACTACTGCAATAATCTGGTTAACTGAGCTCTCTGCTTCAGCTTTTTCCCCTTTCAATATATTCTCACATTCTCAACATAGAAGCCACAGTAATTCTGTTAAAATGTAACATAATCCTTTAGTAGTTTCTCATATCAGAATTAAAAGTAACATCTTTAAAATGGCTTCCAAGACACTACACAATTTGGCCCTTCACTTATTTTGCACCAGCCACATTATTTCTCAGACTTGACAGGCTGTTCCTACTTTACACCTTTTGCACTTGTTATTCCCTCTACATAAAAGGACCCCTAATCTCCTAGATACCCTGGAAGAACACTCCTTCTTCAGGTCTTTGCTCTAGTGAGTCTTCCCTCAAACACTCTATTAAAATTGTAACTTCTCAAGCCCCCACAACTCCTCATCCTCTGCCTACTACATACGTACTGACTTATACATATGACTACATGTTAATAGTATGGAAGCCACACAAGGGTAGAAATTTTTGTCTGTTCACTGGTTTATTTCCAGTACTTGAAACAGTACCAGGAAAATCATGAGTACTCAGTGATATTTGTTAAATGGAAAAATGTTACATGATAAAAGTTATAAAATTAAATCAAAGTAGTATCATGCAATGGTTAAGAGTAATTCGAAACTAGATTTCATTTATAGGAGTGCCACTTTGTAGCTTTGTGACTCTGGACAAGTTTCCTTTAACTTCTAAGCCATAATGTGCTTACCTGTAAAGTGATAACAACAGTAGTAACAACTTCAAATGCACATAGTGAATATTAACTGGGTAAATACATGTCAAGTGCTTAGAAGATGACCTAAACCCTGAGTTGACAAACTAAGGACCATGGAACCAAATCTGGCCACATTTGTAAAGGAAGTCTGAGTGTAGCACAGCCATGCCCTTCATTTATGTATTATTTATGGCTCCTTTCACTCTACCATGGCAAAACTGAGGTCACTGGGTAGCAAGAGAGACCACATGACCTACAAAGCTATCTGGCTCTTTCAGAGTAAGTTTGGTGATGCCTAACCTGAACAAAAGTATGCACTCAATGAATGTTGGATATCATTATCTATATTCACGTGTAGCTAGTTACAAGGATAGACTGCAACCTCAACTAGCCAGACTATAAAAATCTTGCTTGTATATGGGTACTTTCCAGATATAAAATAAGATAATGAAATATGACTCCTAAAAGCAGTGGTACCAACCTTCTAAGATTATCATCTAGGGTTAAGATCTTCTTCCAAAGGCTATATGTTATAAAAAGGGATACTACAACTCTTAAAGCAACTAATTCATCTTTAACTAAAAAAACAAAACAAAGAAAACTAAAAGAAAAAAAAGGTTTCCATACCATACAGTATATTTAGAGGTCTTTATTGTAATTCCAAAAAAGCTGGGTGACAGTAATAAACTTCCAAGTACCAATAACAAAGTACACTTTTGAGAAATGGACTTAAATAAGATATCAAATTAATGGACAAATGTCATAATTCAGTGATCTATGTGCAACCTCATAAGCAAGCTTCATAATTAAAAATAAAAAAATCTTTCAGCCTATCTACCCATCCAATATCATCACCACAATTAAAATAATAATAATAGGTTATAACAGGATAGAAACAGGAAGACAGGTTTCTCATTCAATTCTGGTTCTTTGTCTCCATATAACCTTGGACAATCTCCACTTAAAAATGGAGATGATTTATCTGTCCTTTCATATTTGAAAATTAAAACTCAAACATGAAAATGTCTTAGTCAAAAACAAACTCTATAAAGTCCACAATATTTATTTACAATTGAATTGAGTAAGAAAGGAAAAAAAAAAACATATAATCAAACTTTCTATTCACAATCTGCTATAGAAAAGTACTATGTTGGAGACAAAGTTTCTCAGAAAATTCAATCGCAATTTATTTCTCTTTATAAGACATTATAGTTTCTGCAGTCAGGTAAGAGATGAAGCAGCTGGTATTTAGAAATAGAAAATGATAGTTTTACATACTGTTATTACTTAGTTGGGCTCAGTGCTCTAACCAACTTAAGAACAGTATAGGATTCTTCCCATCTCATCTGGGACACACATTTATAAAATTTCTCTTACCATATTTATTTTTAAAAACATGTATGCTTGAATTCAGTAAGGGAAAAGTACTTGTAATGCTGTATTATTATTATTATCCCAATAAATCATATTATTTAATGTTTCCTAAAAATAACCACATTTCATTTGTACAAACTTATAAAATGTAAATGATGCATTCCACAAATTCACCCTGGTCACCACAACATGTGTCACTGTGCAGCATAATGTTCTTACCTTGTTCTTCACTTCCTTCCTTACAAAGACTAGAGCTCTGGCCCAGACTTAAACTGATATCATCAGATGTCTTAGCAGTGTCTGTGTCTCCTAAAAGTTAAGAAAAACACATGAGGACACTGTATTAAAGTAAAGGCTTAGTGTGTCAAAACCAAGAAACAATATCAGGAGTGTGGTAGACATCTATCAACTAAAGCAGTTTCTACACATCATGGATTACAATAATGGAAGATGCACTGAAATATTATGGATTATCAGAGCACATAATTACTCTGAGAACAAAATAACATGGAAAGCTTCATAATATTAGCTAGTAAAACTATTTCTTTAAATAATAGATTTTAGCTGGGTGTGGTGGCACATGCCTGTAATCCCACGGGCTCAGGAGGCTGAGGCAGGAGGATCAAAAGTTCAAAGCCAGCCTCAGCAACTTAAGGAGGCCCTCAGCAATTTGGCAAGACACTGTCTCTAAATAAAAATACAAGAAGGGCTGGGGATGTGGCTCAGTGGTTGAGTGCCCCTGGGTTCAATCCCTGGTACCTATATGTAGGAACAAATTATGTTACAACAATTTAAAATACAATAAATTTCCTTCCTTAGGAAAATAAGTAAACTAAATCATTGTAGGGCAAAAATAATATGAATGTATCTTAAATAGATGTGTAGAACATTTATTCTCATATTTAAATTTTTCACATCAAATTAGTTTTCCATGAACCTCACCTAAACATGTATTTTCTTTCTCCAAGGAAGTTTCTTACATATCAATAACTTATAATTTGTGCAATATAATTCAAATGGTCACTATGTTAAAATTTGGATGATGAAAAGATAACAATTTAAATCAAGCAATCTATTATGAGATAAATGACTTTAGCTCTAAGGTCAAAAATGACATTTGAATGTTTAGAACTATTATCTTTATTACAAACAAAAAAGTCAGAGGCAATGTTCAAGTTAGATCATGTCTACCTTTAATAGTTGCTGCTGTTCCAAGACGAGAGGAACCAGATCCAATCTGAAAACACAATATAAGGTAAATAAAACTAAATAATATGCTAGTAGCATGTCCTTATCAATACAAACTAGTAAGATTATCAAACAAAATTATATCATCTAAACATGCTGTCACTTTTTATTAATATTAAAACACTAGACATGTTCTATCATAGCCACACAACCTGTTTTCTGCGGTATACACTGTGGTATCTTACAGGTGTGCCAAGATTCTGAATCCCTCTGCATGCTCAGGGCTGATGAAATTCCCAAGGCCAAATGCCTCCAATATCAAGCAGTTTGTATCATACAGTTATTATCATTTTTTTATGTTGTATCATGACATGCTAGTGTTATAATAAACAAAAGCAAAACCAGGCACTGAGTCTACATGGAATAAATTCAGACTTCCTAGGGTACATAAAGGGATGGTTTGGAGGGACAAAACCCATTAACATATGCTACAAAGAGCAACATAAATCTTACTGCCCAATTGTTAGTGTATTGATATATAATTTCCTTAGTTCCAGAAAAGAAGTAAGTATGGTTAGAACATTTAAAAAGAATAAAAATCTAAAGCATGCATCTACAATAAGTGAATTTTTAGCACAACTATAATTAGAAATTTGAAATGTGATTGCTGAGCTTTCAGAGTGCTTATTTTCAAATGGTGTAATATTTCTCTAAAATTTCACAGCCATTATTTATTATACTACCATAAAAATCATATAAACAAATACCACAAATTGTACAAACATAGTGAGGAAACCAAATACAACAACATCAACAAGTCTTAGCAACTCTTCTTTTCAACTTTAAAAAAAAAAAAAAACTTTTTTAAAGGGATTCAAAGAAGAAAACTGTTAAGTAAATTTAGCATTGTAAAATAAAATTCAAAACATCACACAGGGCTGGGGTTGTGGCTCAGTGGTGGGGTGCAAGTGTGAGGTAGTGGGTTCAATCCTCAGCACCACATAAAACTAACTCTTTAGGTCAAAACATAGGTTAATACTGTTTTTGAAGAGGCAGGATTTTCTTGATCTGGATGGCCACTGAACAGGTGTATACAGATGTAAAACCACATTGAGCTGTACGCTCAAGATGTATACTATGCTGTAGAAGCTACACCAGTGAAAAAGTAAATAAAAATAGGCATATAGAGGGTCTGGGACTGTGGCTCAGTAGCAGAACACTTGCCTTGTATGTATGAGGCACTGGGTTTAATCCTCAGCACTACATGAAAATAAATAAATAAAATGAAAGTATTTAAAAAATAGGCATATACAGATGAAAATACTAAAAAACTCTGGATATAGCCAATAAAAAATAAGTTTTGTAATACTTCTAAGCTGTTTTTTAAGCTTGACTCTCCTAGTATTTTAGAATTTCTACTTTCAATTAAACATAAAAGGTACTATAATTGGCCAGGGGGGAAAAAGTCTAAAAACTATTTGACTACAAAAGAAGTTTCATTCTTACCATACCAGCTAGACAAGTTACAGAAATAACATATATCATCTACTAGAATTATAAACACATAACTTCCTAGACAGAAATTCAAAAATAAATAATAATCAAGTACAGTGGCATAAGCCTATAATCCCAGTGGCTCGGAGGCTGAGGCAGGAAGATAGCAAGTTCAAAGGCAGCTTCCACAACTTAGCAAGGCCCTAAGCAACTTAGTGAGACCCAGCCTAAACATAAAAAATAAAAAGAGCTAGGGATGTGACTCAGTGGGTTCAATCTTTGGTACCAAAAAAATAAAAAAGCAAACAAAAATTCAGCACACCCTTCTAGGAACTTAAATGTTAAAAACTTTTTTTTTTTTTTTTTTGGAGATAGGATCCCACTACATTGTCCTGGTTCTCCTTGAACTCACTATTCTCCTGTCCCCCGTAGCTAGAATTACACATAACAGGCATGCGCCACTACACCTGACTCCTCAAGACCTTTTGGCATATGGGCTTTTGTCATTTGCTCACAACCTCAAAATATTCCCCTTTTCTTCCTTTAACACGCTCCCCATTTTAATCAGATGTCAGTCACGCATCTTTTCACCTATGAGCAGTGGGCCCAGTCCCTGTCTAGAGGGAGGTACATGAGCTAGTTCTGGTCAATGAATGAAACAGGGAGTCTGCTGGAGGGCTTCAGGAAGAGATTCTTATAAGTCTAAGAAGAGGACCAAGAATTCTTGAACAGCGTCTTGACTGAAGCTGTTATGCTCATCCTACAGCCCTGGGAAAAGGCCTAGGGAACTATGGAAATGCCAACCCAGAGGCTCAGCATTACTGAGATGCTGAACAAATGCCACAAATGTCAAACACCTCCAGATTTAGAAGATAACACAAACTCGTATTTCTCTACGATAGTATAAGTTGGGTATTCTATTATTTGCTGATACCATGGTAGTAATATTTTATTCTTCATGCTTTTCTGTATTATTTAAGCTACTCCCAAATAGCAAAGAATCATGACTAAAACAACAGGTGATCAAGAATATAAAATACTATATCTAAATGCAATTCATCCCCCAAAGGGTCACTTTGGAAAAACTCAATGGCATTAACATTCATGATACATTTGGTAAAGAGAAGTGAGTTCAAAATAACAAGCACATTAGAACTCCATTTTGTTGTAAAAGTTTTCTTATTATATACAATATCATGAATGATTTTTAGTTTTCTTGTTTATCCTCATTTGTTAAATTTTTTAAGAATGAAAAGAAAAAAATTAAGAAAAATAGTAACTTCCTATACTTGAGGGTGAAGTTCTTTATTCAAATGATTTTCATAAATTGAAATATTGTAGTGTTTCTTCCCTGTGGTAAGTGCCATAGGAAAGGTCCAGGAAGGATTATACATTTAAGACAAAAGGGTACTTACAACTAGAGAGTGTTTCAGGTAAGGCCACCTCCCCAGGAATCTTTGCCTTTCTCTCTACCTGAAATTAATAAATTTTCCTTGGAAGTAATCTCTTTTTCTGCACCATTCTGATGGCAATTATTACTCTGTAAAAGGACTTTGTACTTAATTCTTTGGCAGTATATATTACATTTATAACTTTAGTTATATCATAGGTCTCAATCTCTTTGGGGATTAAGACCTATTCCTCACACCAAATAAAATGCTTTGAATATTATCAGACACCAAAATATTGAAGAAAAACAAGTGACTAAAAGGAAAGAGGAAGGTAAGGGGAAAATAAAAAAGGCAAAGGAAATGGAAGGCAGAAGATGGAAGGGAGCAAAGCAGAGGTAGCGAAAGGGAAAAAATGATAACAATGACTAAAGATACAGCCACTATATACAAAGAGCTCATGATCTGGTACAGAAGACATTTACATAATAATTATGACAATATGTCATAATGGGAGTATCTCCACCAATATATAAAAAGCCTGACTACTTCACTCCAGCTTCTCTAAAGGGTAACAACAATTACATTCACCTTATTTTTCATTATAATACAACATGAAATCACTAAAACCCAAAAAGCATGATAGCCTTCAATATTTGCCCATTTTAATTTAAAAGTTACTATTTTAAGGAAAACCGAAGGCTGTGTGTTATGTGCAAATGTGCTTTAATTATATTCAGGAGGGGACTCCTTCCCTAAAGGAAGTACAAGTTCCAACAAAAATGAGGCCAAGGTCAGAGTATCCAAAGGTGGCTGGCCATTGCTGCGCCTTTTCACCTTCCCTATTGCAAAAATTAACAAAGGTATGACTCTCCAAAATACTGTTGGAAAAATGTAGAATAACTTCCTGCGATAATCTGACATTACTTTACTTTTCCAAGAAAGAAGAAAGGCTAGGGTTAATTAAGATTACAAAACATGTAGCCATCTTTAGAGATTAAGTCATTTCATTCTATAAAAAGCAACTGAGGAAAGCAAAAAGCCAACAAAAAATAGGATCAAGGATAGTAACACTATTCTTCAAAAAGGTATTATAAAACTTGAAACTTGTTATGGAAAGATAACATATATTCTATATTATACTCAAATCACAACTAAAACTATTACCAAAATTCATTCACTTGAATTTTAAATCATAAACACAGGCAAAACTTCTATCAAAATAGAAAATAAAGCTCTATTCAAGATTTTGACTCATAGAATATCATATTTTCATAATATTGTTCTCAGATAGTCTACTTATTTGTTAAATGAGGAGCCAAGTCCAATCCTACTTCTAAGGTTTTATTATCTATATACATATTTAATAATCATTAATTGAAAGTCAGCTGTGCACAGGCAATATACTAAACAGTGAAAAAAAAAGGAAAATATACTCTATTGAGGCTTATAAACTGCCATATACTATCATATGCCAAAAAACTAAGTGCTATAAGTAATAAGTGCTCCATCTACAAGACAATGGGCCAACACCACAGGTCTTTGAAAATCTTGAGCAATAGAATGTGGTTACAAGAAGAGTTAGAGTTAGGCCAGAAAAGAAGATCTAAATCTCCCTCCACGACAGTGTGTGAGAGGGAGGAAAGTGGTTTCAATCATCAAATTGTATATGAAACAATAGGAATGCTGGAATGAGAATCAGGAATTGAGGGCTAGCCTAGACCCTAACAGAAATCAGCTGTTTCTTCTACATAATGAAAGGTCTGACACAATGACCTCTAAACCCCACAACTACAAAACGTTCTATTACAAAAAGTTTCTCTCAAAGTTTACTTCACTCCAGGTAGTGAAGTCATCTGCAGAAAAGGCAAGCAGGAGTGACTGGGACTTGGCTTGAGCAGGAGATGTTTAGGACAAGAGAGAGAAGTGTATTAGCAAAATCAAGGTTAGACGTAATGAGAGTACAACAGGCTGCTGCCAAGGTAGAAGAAAACACTTTCAGAATTACTATCCTAAGCTAAAAGTAAAAGCTACACAGCAGAAATAAATTAAAATTGCCACCAGCAGATCTGCGTACTACTTCAAGTTAATGAATTCTATCTTAACATATATCAATACACTGAGATTTGGGGATAAGTTTTTTCTTTGTGTTTTTCTTTCCTTTCGTTGTTCTTTTTTTTTAAATGTTAAAACTAAGGATAACCACTGACGACTAAGATGGAGCAAGCTAGAAGCTAAATTTCCCAAGGCTTTTGCTACAATACAATCAAAACTACACATACTTATCCATGTGAAGAGATTTAAAAATAAGAATATTAATACATTACTAATAAATAATCAAAACAATAATTAGAAAGATAAACATCAACTATTATAAACATAAGAATAATTAAGACTACCATCAGGAGGAGAAAAAAAAAGGCAAAATAATACAGCATAGGTTCCTACCTGGTTGCTTGGATCTAGACCAGCATAAGAATTTCTTGAACTGCAACCAACTGGAGGTGTGGCCTCCCGAATGAATTCAGACATTTCAATCCCTCCACCAGGATCACTATGCAAGAAAAAAATTGGAAAGAGAGAATAACTATCATTATTCTGACACCAATTATTTTATTTTTGTTTAAGTTATATCTTTTTCTATAAAACTAAGAGATTCTGAGTTTTAAGAGGGGAAAAAAAATAAAGAATGATCACCCTTAATCTATAAAAATTCCCCAAACAGGAACTATTTAATAACCACATCACTATTTGAAAATATTTTAAATTCTTTTACCCAAGCTATCTATATCCAATCCAACATTAGAAACTGGCCTTAATTGCAATAATAGCATACTAAATATTTTATGATATGTGCCATAAAAATCACTCTAACAAAGAAATGATTGCCTGTTGTTTCCCAAGAACAAAGAGAAGTTAGTCAACTGTAAAAATGGAAAGTAATCAGATAATCACATTAGCTGATGTCTCCACGTGAGAAGTCTAAGCTGCATGACACAGTGATGAATGAACAAGACAAGAGTCATACTGGTTAAACTCTATCTGCATTTTTAAAGTACAGAAATTAACAAGGATCTGATTGTTTTAAGAACTGGAAATCTAAGATTTTAGATTTGCATATGTTGAGTTAGAAGGCACAAGTCAAATCAAATAAAATAAAATGATGCTGTGCAGTAACAAGTCTTAGAAAGTCCAAAGGGAAAAAAGTACTAGGATCAAAGAGCTGTGGAAAGTCATATAGAATACTTAGGAAAAATGGGAACTTCACAATTAGGGATGGAGAGAATCACACCAATTTCAAAAGTTTTAGAAATGTTAGTTTCCTCAGGACAAGAACTCTTAGAGCAACTCATGATCCTGTTTTTTACCCAAAGGTTTTTTTGCTCATTCTACTTTGCCATAAACAGAGTATCAATAATTTTTTTAGCTATTATTATCAGGATAAAATTTCTAGGATATAGGCTGGACATTACAGTGGATATAAACTACCTTGCCACCCAGGATCTAATTCAACCTCCTCATACACATAAAAAGAAACCCCAAATTCTCCTAGGGATTTGAATAATGTTGATCCTACCTCCTCATGTTTAGGGGCACACTCTACTGGATAAAATAAATCAGCATATCCCAGTCTTCTGATCACTGAGATTAGTTCTAGAATAAACATAAACCCCAACACAGGCTAGTATGAATCAGGTCATGAATGTTCTATTGTTGACAGAGAAAATTTCTCAACACCTACAAGCCTTGATGCTGCGATATAAAGCCTGGAGCTGCTGCAGCCATCTTACAACCATGAGGTAGAATTTAACTAACAGCAAAGAGCAGAGCCTGGCTAAAAAAGAAGCAGTGTCATGACTGTTTGAAACTCTGCATCCTGACATATCTGAAGATATCCCTTACGTACAGACTTTTCAGTAACATGTACCATAAATTCCCTGTTTGGGTGGAGTATTCTGTTGCAATCAAAAAATATAAGCTAAAAAGAATTTATTTGCAAGCATACCTTTCATTAAAGTATTTATCAATATAGCAGTATAAATTATAGTGTTTTTATTATTAAATATCTCATACCTATAATGTCCCTGTTTGCCTAAAGGGTTCCTAATTCTAGGCATTTGACCATAGTCAGCTAGTTGACATCCAATGGTGAAAACTAGTTTTCTAACTTGCTATTCATTGATAAAAATAAGACACATTATGGCTGAGGTTATAGCTCAGTGGTAGAGCGCTTACCTAGCACTTTGACACACTGGGTTCGATCCTCAGCACCACGTAAAAAAATAAACAAATAAAATGAAGGTATAAAAAAAAATATATTGGAACCTGGTTACAAAAGTTAATGGCCAGGAGCTGGGGTTGTGGCTCAGTGGTAGAGCATTTGCCTAGCACGGGCGAGGTCCTGGGTTCGATCCTCAGCACCACATATAAATAAATAAAATAAAGGTATTGTGTCCAACTACATAATTTAAAAAAAAATTAATGGCCAATTCAGTGCAAAACTGCTCATGTATTGTAAGAAAAGTGGAATATGTTCAAGTTTTTAGCTGTGAGGTATTAACTCATACAGTTCTGAATTGAACAAAACTTAAAAGGTGTACATGAGGCAGATACTACCACACTGAGTTAGTTAATGATGAGAAAGAACCAGCAATGTTACTCCTATTTCTGCAGGAATGCTTCCTCTAAATCAGACCCAAAGAACACAGAAGACGGAAGTCACAGTAAAGACCGAAGGATAAAATACTCAGTACCACAGAAAGAATAGAAAGCCCTCATCTTGCCTTGTTTCGTTTTGTTGATGTATAACTCACATATAATTCACTAATTTAAATTGTACAATTCAAGGGTTTTTAGTATCTTCATTAAGTTATGAGATCATCACCATAGTTAACTTTAGAACATTCTATAATTTTATCACTTCTAAAACAAATTCCTTTAGTTATTATTCCTCTACTCTTTCCATCCTCCCTAGGCAACCACTAATCTAATTTCTGTCTCTATAGATTTGCCCATTCTGGATATCATCATATCAATGGAATTACATAGTATATAATTTTTCATGACTGGCTTAGGTTAGTAAGGAATTTAAACATATGTTTCAAGGTTCATTCACATTGCAGCATATATCAGCACTTTGTTTCTTTTTATGTCAAAGTCACATTTTACTGTATGAGTAGACCGTATTTTGTTTATCCAGTCACAGGGTGGACAGTCCTACCCACTTTCATACATCACTTCTGAGAGCAAATCCAAGTGATTACAATGCAAATGTAAAGTTATTATTAATAACAAACAAAATTAAGTATTTGCTAGTTGCTTAATATATCCCAGTGACAGGAGATCCTACTTTATTTGTGCTTTCTGATTAAAATGTCTTTCCTAAAATCCAAATATAAGTACTATTATCTTCATTTTACAAATGAAAAAACTGAACACTACAGATGTAAAATTTGCCTCTGGTCTCAGAGGAGTGAACAACATAAACTGGGTCACTGGCATATGAGGGTCAGGTGGCAAGGGAGGGTACAAATAATACTCAGCACTCTATAGTGTGTTAATATATCTGTATTCCTTCCTTCCTTTCCTTCCCTGCCTTCCTCCACACACCTGAATATAGTTACTTATAACCAATAGACACACTAAAATAAGGTTTCAACAGCAGATCTCTAAGCCCCTGCTCTTTCTAAGAAATCATGCTGCTCTTCAACATACTTATAAGTTCTCTCTCAAGGTCAAAACTAAAAAGTAACACCATTATCTAGAATAGATAGAATAGTGATTTGGGGGTGAGGGGGGCATACCGGGGATTGAACTCCAAGGCAATCACCCACTGAGCCACATGCCCAGCCCTATTTTGTATTTTATTTAGAGACAGGGTCTCACTGAGTTGCTTAGCGCCTCGCTTTTTGCTGAGTCTGGCTTTGAACTTGGCGATCCTCCTGTCTCAGCCTCCCAAGCCACTGGGATTACAGGCATGCACCACCCCGTACCTGCCAGAATAGAGATCTTAACCTCAGCACTACTCAGGACACATACTCCTTGACTGTTGAGGACTGACTGTGCATTGTAGGATGGCTAGCAGCATCCCTGGCCTTTACCCTACAGATGCCAAAGGCATCCCCCAGTAGTGACAACTGAAAATGTCTCCAAACATTGTCAAAGATTTCCTGAAGGGTAAAATCACCCCCAGGTCAGGTACGATGATCTAGAACTAACACTGGTCAATGGTCAACTTTGAAAAACAGAGGGTAGGGAGCATTAAAACAACAAAAATGATTAAGGGGAAAAAATGGACAGCTCTTTTATTTTTTAAAAAAATCCTCCAGCAAAATTTCTATACTCCACTCATCTCTACAAATGCAGAAGCAGAACTTTCAGTCACACTATAGAGATTCTAAGTATAGCTAAACACATAAAATGACTAAGAGTTTTCTTTTATTAGCAAGACTTGCAGGTTTTTAGAAATGGAGATTTCAGCACATACCTGGAAAGTATGGTAGTTTACAATTCTCACAGAAGCAAAGTGGTCTACTGCAGTAAGCAATACACCAAATTCTGGGAATCTCTACCTTTATGCCTTAATTTCCCCATCTGTTAAAAAAGAAAAAACCAGGTACAGGGAAAGGCAGAAAAGTAGAAGGGGTCTAATCTGAATTACAGAAGAAATTTTCAAACTAATTTGTTTATTATTAGTATCATATTAATTGCTATGTTCAGACTTTGATCAGAAACTTCACAGTACCATTACAGTACTAAATTTACAAATCTAATCTAGATTATAATGATGCATATGAAGTATGAATAGATAAAACAAAGTCCCTAAACAGAATAAATCTCCCTCAGAAAACTCAGCCTAAAATTCAGCTTCGTATAATTTAAATGGATCTTTGGTTTACAAGGCATTGTTATATTACAAGCATTGCTGCCATGAAAAGAGAAAATGCTTGTTTCCTCAAATATTTGCATTCAAATTCTTAAATTCAATTGCTGGCTTTCTCTTCTGAAGCATTAAAAATGTAACAGAAACAGTCTCTGATTCTGTCTACAAGATAGAGACTTAAGCACTTTTGAACTGCAGTACTACATAAGAGAAGCCAATGAAAACTAAGGCTCACAAAAGTCCTACTGTATTCATTCATTCACAGAACAGACTGACTATGTACCAAGCACAGTAAGAGGCTCTAAATATGAAAATACACATTTTCCTGCACATTACTTTTCCTCAGAACAGAATCTGAGATTCGCAAGTGGTCAGATGAGGAAAAGAGGTCAAAAACAAAAATTATAGCCAAGATCTTCCTTTAATAGTGAAGCTTAAAAACATCCTATTTAAGAGTAGGGAAAAAATAAGGATATATACCAATACCATTTCTATTTTAATCAGAAGCTAGAAGCCATGGCCAACCAAAAAATCGAATGAGTATAAGGACTAGAAAGGGAAAATTAAAAGAGTCATCATTTGTAGAAAAATCAAGAAATAACCTATAATGTATCATAATTAATAAGAAAGTTATGAAGGTTGTTGGATACAAATTAAACCGTTACATTTAAGGGAGGAAAAAACAGAAAATGCAATTTAAAGAAAATTAAAAAGAAGGAAGAAACTATAGAATAACAATCAATTTCTGTTTAATGAAACAAATTACAAAATTTTACTAAAGAGAATTTTTAAAGACAAATTGAGAGATTCAATATACTAAAGATAGAAATACTTGGCAAAGAAATCTCTATTTTCAAAGCAATTTGAATAAAAATACCAAGTTCTTACAGATATATCTTGATAAACTCTAAGGTTTATATCAAATAGCAAAGAGCCAAAAATAGCCAAGTCACTCCTGAAAAAGAACAAGGTAGAAGTTTGCCCCACCAGCCATCAAGAGCCATGCTATAAAGCTACAGTAATTAGAACAGTGTGGTTAAGGCAAGGCATAGACAACCAGGTTAACTAAATAGAAAAGAGAGCCGTAAAACACACCACCACATAAGGAAACTCAGTTCATGACAGCAAATACTGCAGGTTTCTAAGGAAAAGACAGCCCTCTTAAGAAACAGGTAAATTAATCATTCATAAAGAAAAAGTAAGTCAATCCCTATGTGACACTAAAATAATTTCAGCTGTCTCTAAAATAATTTCAGAGAGAACTGAAATGTGAAAATAAAAGAAACATGAAACTTTAAAAAGTCAATACTGAAGAATATCTTTTCATACCTCTATATAGGAAATAATCTCCTAAAAAACAAAAATGCTCATTTTTAAAAATGATAAATTATATTTTATTAAATTTAAGAATATATGATAATCAAAAGAAAGCAAAATTAAAAGTCACAAACTGGGAGACGTCTATAATGTACATAACTAATAAAGAAGAAGCATAAACATTTTTTAAATTTCTACTTATCAATAAGAAAAAACTACAAAGAAAAATTAAACAAGACATAAATGGACACCGGAAAGAAGAGAAAACCTAAGTGGAACCTATATATAAAATAAGATGCTTGACCTCATTAATAATCAGAAAGGTTAACTAAAAGTTACAGTGAGACATATTTTACACTCACATGAATGGCAAATGTTAAAAGTTTGCCAATATCAAATACTGATGAGACTGTGGAATAAGGAACTTTCACATATTACTAGAGTATAAATTGGTAAAAATCATTTCGGCAAACAGCTTGGAATTACCTACTAAAATTAAACAAGAAAATGCTCTACAAATTGCCTTATGTAAACTAGATATACACATGTATACTAGAAGTCATGTACAATAATGTGCTATCAGAGCAAAAATTGGAAATAATCTGAATAACTATCAGCAGAAGAATGGACAAAGATTGTAATCTATTCCTATAGCAAGAGGCTACATGGCAGTGAATATGAATAAATCATAGGCATAAACCTTAACATGAGTGAATCAATAATACAAAACATACCATACCCAAAAAGTCTCTCACACAGAAACATACATAGTATGATTCTCTTTAGAAGATCCTAAAGCAGACAAAATAAATATTTCATATATTTAGGGATAGCTACAAAGATTGTATTACAGTAAAGGAAATCAAGGGAATTATTCACCCAAAAATCAAGATTGTGGTCCCTCTTAAAGAGAAGAATGGAATGAAATGGGAAAGAAATGCGTAGAGCTTCTATGGAGTTTGTATACTTCCCTGTTTCTTATGCTGTGCAGTGGGCAATTCATTTCATTTGACTATTTTTCTCTAAATTATACATATATTTGATATATTCTTTGGAATACATATATTTCACAATAAATACTTCTAAACTAAAAGAAACAGAACAGTAACTCATTAACAGAAGCAATTAAAAACATATATACACATATACCCATATACATAAAATCCAGAAATAATTAGAACAATTATGCAGAGGAAAGCTTAAGTAACTTCTCTAATATTTTATAATTGAGAATGATTCAAGCTCAGCTGACATAAAAGTAATATGTGGCATACAAAAAAAAATTATGATAGAAACTGAGTAAAAGTACTTGGCACATAGGACAAACAATTAAAATCCATCGTAAATACATATCTTCTCCAAACCAACAGTTAAAAAAAAAAAAAGAACAGAAAAATAAACAAGCCCCCCAAAAATATAAATGACAAAAACACAAGAAAAAATGCCCCTATTTTGCTAGTAATCCAAAAGCAGAAATATTAAACACTGAGGGTTTTATCAGTGTTTTATAAAAATACTAACCCAGTATTTGTCAAAGGTTTAAAAGAGAAGGTGGTGGGGGAGGTCCTCAAACTGCAGATCATGATAGTTAAACAGCAAATCTTTGGAATTTGGCAATATGTATTAGAAAGCTTAGAAATGTATGTAGCCACCAGGTATGGTGGTGTACACCAGTAATCCCAGCAGCTCAGGAGGCTCTCAAGTTCAAAGCCAGACTCAACAAAAGTGAGGTGCTAAAAGCAACTCAGCAAAATAAAATACAAAATAGGTTTGGGGATGTTGCTCAGTGGTTAGTGCCCCTGAGTTCAATCCCGTACCAAAAAAAAAATATGTAGCCTTTCCAGTAACTATACCTCTGATAAATCATGGCAAAACATTTAATCATTTAAAATTTAAGGATCACAGTAATCTTTCTAACATTGAAATTTAAATTTGAAAATAACTAAAAATAGGATAGGTAAATTATTATACATCCACACAAGGGAATACTATGCATCAGTAAAAATAATACCACAGAAATTTTGTTTTCATTACTTCAAATATTAGCCAAGGAATAATCAGTGCCAGAAACTGATTTTAAGGCCTGGAAATATAATAGTTTTTAAGAAAAGGTCCCTGACTTCAAGAAGTTTATAAATGCAATTCAGATAAGTTGAGGAAGTGATTAAAACAATGAATAAAATCATTACAAAAGTAAAATACCTGCACAATGAACAAATGTGGCAATCATATAGGAATGAGGAAAAAATATAACTGAAAAGAGATAGTCTTTTAATGCACTAGAAAACATAAAGAAATATTACATGCCTTAATAGGAGCATCCACCTTTCATTATATTATTTATACCTTAATATCTGAAATAGCTCATTATTATATGCCGAGTGGACACACAGCATAGTGGATAAAAGAATAGACTCCAGAACTTGAGTGCTTGAATTATTTGATCTTTCTCAATTTGGTTTCTACGTCTATAAGTTAGGAATAAAACAGCATCTACCTCACAGAATGATTTAGAGGACTGAATGAGCTTAATATATGTCAGATGTTCACATAGGAACTGCTTGTTTTTAAGCTTTATATTAGCAATATTTATTATTTCTACAAGAACACAAGAAACTTTTGACCATAAACAAAGTAGGTTTCTCTTCAAAAAGAAAAAGCTAGTAGAGCCAAGGAAATATGTTACAATGTGGCTGTGAGCAATCCTTTAGCTGGGATAGGAAGGGAAAGTTTCCAAGGCAACATCTAGCTAAACTTGAACCCTAAAAAGTCAGTCTTCTGAAGATTGAGGAAAGAACAACCAAATTTCAAAGGTTAAAATATAAAATTAAAGCTGGGCCTACAGCTCAGTGGTAGAGCACTTCCCTGGCATTTGCAAGGCCCTGTGTTTAATCCCCAACACTGCAAAAAAGAAGAACAAGAAGAATATAAAATTGAAATTGGAGTCACATAATGTGACTCCAATTGAAATTTTTATTTACAATAAAGTGAAACATGCAGATAATGTCAAGTAAAACATCACAATGTATTTAAGATATACATACATTTCATTTATACATGTAAGTTTTTTAAATGATGAGATTTATAAGTTATGCTTTGAAATTATTTCTTCAAGCTGTGTTACCTTGGTTTTGGGTGTTGGTATGAGTAACTATTATGTGGTAACCTATTTTTTCTAACCTCTTCAGAAATGAGGCCAATGATATTGATTTAATCCCCCAAACATGCCAGTTAGTTTTGCTCTATTCTAATATTACAATGTGCCCTGGACATTATACCTTTAGTGGTAAGATCTAATACTGCCTTCAAACCATATAAAGACACAGTAATTACATCATTACACACACACCACAATTTATGTCGTTACACACTGAGCAACATGGGTTTTCTTACCTAGGTCCATTGCTATCTTTTCTCCTGGTTGAACAGTTGCCTTGTTCAGCTTTGGCTCGCTGATCTGTGAGCTCATTTGCACTCCTATCTACAATTTCTCCAGCATCCAGTGCTCTGTGTAGTCGATAGTTGACCATCTTCAGAACAATGAAAACAGCAGCTACCACAGGACAATAAACTGCTACTATAATCATGGAAGAAGGAAGGGCCTTTAAGAGAAAGGAAATGAAGATAAGCATTTTAGAACGTTTTACATTTTACTCAAAGAAATCTATATCTAAAATAATAAACACATATTTACGTACAAAACAATTAAGTTACTAGCTCTTAATTGCAAAGGTGGAAGTCCACAGTGCCCAATACAGAAGCCCTACATGTGGTTAGTGAGCACCTGAAATGTGGTTTAGTTTGAATTGATGTCCCATAAGAAAAAAAAAAAAGAAAAAAACCAATGGATTTTAAAGACAGTATGAAAAAGAAATGTAAAATATCTCAATTCTTACACTGATCACATGTTGAAATAACAGCATACTGGGTTAAGCAAAACATTATTGAAATTAATTTTCAACTGTTTCTTGTCACTATTACTACTACACAACTTTAAATTACCTATGTGGTTCACATTACATTTCTGGCAAAATGCTTTAAATACAACTGGAGAGCTAAGGTATCCCATTATATGTGAGTAAGTCAGGGTTGTGATCCAAATACAATCTCTGTTTACATGCTCTGTTTTTTTATTCTTTTGTAGGATACAGTCTCTTTATGTTCCAGAAAACTGGAACGTAAACTGTCATGACAATGACCTTGGAACTCTGACTGTAAAATCAGGTAAGACATGGGAGATACACAATATCCAATTTATTCTAAAGTATTTAAATGCTTAAAATATTTTAAAAATGCCTGCCTGCCAAATTAAAAAATAAATAATTCAAAAAATAATCAAGCAGTAAATCAACTGAAATAAATCAGTCACGTATACTAGGTGTAGGGAGTGTAGACCTTCATATTTGAAGATTATGTGGAACCTGAATATCAGGATGGCAGGCTCAGAAACCACCCCACTCCACAGTCCTCAGAGTTGCTGCTGGCAGAAAGTATAAAACTAGGTTCAACATATCCCCACTTTCATGAGGAAAATAATCATTCTGGATGTCTGTAGCTCCAGAACCCATATTTTTGTAAGAGTCAACCTGAGCCATCTGATAATGTGACTCCAAAATGGCTTGGAAAGGGAAAGCTCAAACTGCTCAAGATGATGAAATTGAAAAGTTCTTGATGAACCAGACAAATTTATAATACAGATAGGAAAAAGAAATTTTTCTAATAATTTAAGAAGAAAAGAGTGTCAAGTTGTAATTACGATGAAAAAGAGATTAAATATCAGATTTAGAAAAATTAAGTACTTAGAAAATTTTGTCAGATGATTTAAGTACTTAAAAATAAATGCTCAGCCAGGTGTGGTGACACACACCTGTAATCCCAGCGACTAGGGAGGCTGAGGCAGGAGAATGGCAAAGTCAAAGCCAGCCTCAGCAAAAGCGAGGAGCTAAAAAGCAATTCAGTAAGCCCCTGTCTCTAAATAAAATGCAAAATATGGCAGGGAATGTGGCTCAGTGGTTGAGTGCCCCTGAGTTCCATCCCCGGTACCCAATAAATAAATAAATGCTCAATTTATAGTTTCAATTTAAGTTAAAGGGATCTTAAGCTAGAAAAAAATAAATTTCTTAAAATGCTCATTCAAATGTGTTATAATTGAGTTTAAAATTCTTTAACTGTTTAATTTAAAACTTTAATAAATCAGTATAAAAATCAAAAGTGCCCTGAATAATCTTTTCTGGGCAAAATGGCCATCCTCAAACACACACACACACACACACACACACACACACACACACACAATGTGATACACACAAAAATATACACCACTTGTAGAATTCACAAAACTTCTCTTGTGATGTTGGTTTCCATCTAAAATGTTCTCATAAAACTAGAATTCTTGAAGATCCAGGAAACTGAGATCTACTGTTTGAATGACTTAGCCAAGATTACCCATCTTGATAATAAGGGAGGTTATATCCCTATTTCACTACCTGTTATATACCACATTGCTGATACCATTTTCAAGTGTAAAGTGCCAATGAAAAACAAGAGTTTCATCCTTATTTACCATCATTCATATTAAGGTAAAAACAACTGATTATATTATTAAGCAGATAGAAAGGAAATAAGCCCAACATTATTAATCAATGTTAGACAAACTCAATGAAAACATTAAGTTTCTCATCCCTCCCGATGAGAAAAGATAAAACTGAGTATTTAACATTAAATAGTTAGTCTATAGTATATGCCTCTACACACACACACACACACACAAAAGGCAAAGATTATGAACATTTAAAACAGATTTAAATAAACTCACTTCCTACTGTGAGACTGCTAAGAATATTGGATAACTGAGTGCAACAAACACTGAAATATAAGAATTTATCAATGAAGTAGAGTTCCTTTCTTAAAAACACTGCATAATGAAAAGACTATAAACAAAGTGATACTTTTTTCCCCAAATGTAATTTAAGTGACCATTACATACCAGGAACCAGTATCAAATGAATAACACATATTTTCTACTCAAATTACAAAAACTGCCCATTTAATTTACACTATGTAGTTTGAACGTAAAAGCCCTGCCAGTGGTAAATTCCAACATTTCTAGGTGTCAGAGGACAGTTGTACTCAAATAGCTTCACTCTTCCCTAAGTGTATAGACTCACAGGCTGCTTAAACCTCCTGTCTACTCCACCTGCATTACCACCTTAAGCTCTCAGCTGACTCTGAGACAGCTGACAACATTAGCATCACATCTTAAAAGATTATCAACCTTCCCTGTAATTACAATTCACTAATATTACAGGAAAATTGTAAGCAGTGTCTGCCTTTGCAGGATGTTTCATTAGTCCTCTAAAATCAAACACCAAAACCTAGAAACTAGCTAATTCACCTGTTCCTCAGTTTTATGGATTATATATACATTGACTTAATTTCTGTTCTATAACAAACGATACTTTAGAAAGTGTTACTAACATTTCCAAAAGAACACTTTTCATCTTCTTAGGTTATATGATTGTAAATGTTATCTTCAAATTAATGCTGATATAACTAAGCACATTAACAGTCCCTAGGTAATAAAAGCTAATATGTTTTATCATGAGATACAAGTCTATCTACAGGTATAAACCTGTACTGCTTGTACAGAGAGATTGGTTGTACTCCTTTCCTAGGATACTACCAGCAGTGGACAGTAGAGATGGAAAGCTGCAGAGCAGCTGGTATAATACTGATGGACAAACAAGGCATTCATTAAATAACTATAAAGGTCACAACCCTAGAAGCACAAGATAAAGATGCAGAATCATCCTGGGCTTCAGACAGTTTTCCTATATATCTTAATATGTAAACATATTATATATCTTAAGCATCAGAACATTACAGAACTTAAAAGGTAATAAAATTAAAGCAGACAAGCTAGATGTTTTCAAATTCTATTATGCCATAATTAGTTAGCTTCTTATTTTGAGACTCACTTACTGTGTAGCAATACTCAGCTATTCAAACCACTTCAGTCGGAAATCAGTGATTGATAACTTAAAAGAATGGCAGGCATATTATTTACAATTGAGACCAAGGCTGGGAAATTAAAGCAAAAATTTTTAAACAAATATCTTAAAACGTCATCATTAATGCAAGTCATCTTTTATGCTTATTTGGGGGGTTTCCACTATTACAACTTCCTCATTATTTAAGGCATTGTTTATAAAACATTTTGGCATTACATACTAAGCATGCAAGAAAATGTGAACTGGGGCTGGGGATGTGGCTCAAGTGGTAGCACTCTCACCTAGCATGCATAAGGCACTGGGTTCGATTCTCAGCACCACATAAAAACAAAATAAAGATTTTGTGTCCACCTAAAACTAAAAAATAAATATTAAAAAAAAGAAAATATGAACTATGTATTTTAGGTAAAAAGTTATCATATTTAAATTTTTTAAACTGGAAGATGAATTAAAGACTTTAATTTCAACAGCAAAACTAATAAAACTTTAAAAGAACGTCTTTATGACCTTTTCAGTAGATTTATTAAAAATGACTCTCAAAGAATATACTAGAAAAGGACTATGAATTAAAATTAAGAACTTCTGTTCATTGAGAGACACTGTGAGAAGACAAGCCTCAACTAGAAGACACATTAAAACAAGTATTATTATGTGTATGTGTGCATATTTATATACACACAATATATACATACACAATATATATACACATATGCATGTCCATGTATGTGTATACGTGACATATAAAGAACTCTTACAAAAACAATAACAATGAAACTATTTATTAAGAACAAAAGACTTTACCTAGAAAAGGAACTATAAATGACCAATTAATACAACACATGAAGCCTGGCAATGTGGCTCAGTCACAGAGCGTCTACCTAGCATGCTCAAGGTACTAGACTGAATACCTAGTTCTACAAAGAAAAACAAAAGAACCCCCTCCCCCCCGCCACAGCACACACACACACACACAGCCAGATAGAATGGCTTATGCCCAGTTATTCGGGACACTGAGGTAGGATTTCAAGTTTGAGGCCAGCGAGATACTTTCTCAAAGTAAATAAATAAAAGGGCTGGGGATGAAATTTAGTGGTAGGGCATGCCTGGGTTCAAACCCCAGTACTGGAAGTAGGCAGGTAGGGGAACTAGGACCACACACATAATAAAGGTGTTCAACTTCACCTAATCAGACAGCCCACATCAATATACCACACAATGCTCATTTCTATGAGCAAATATTAGGAAATCTGATAAAATTAAGTATAGAGAACCAGAACTGTTAAAATATAAATTGACAGATACAAAGTCCAAGGCACAACAATTCCTCCTGCAAGTATAAAATTCAGATATAAATGCAATACTAGGAAACTTACAAAACATGAAAGGAAACCTCAATTGAAAAATCAGAAAAATGGAAAGTGGAGACTGTTTTCCAACGGAACTTAATACATCAGTGAAAAACTACAGCTAACTGCAGCAACACAGATACACTGAATAAATACAACATATCCCAAAGATAAATTATGTTTCACTGTATTTTCTTGAGTTTTTAGATAATAGGTATTTCTTTACAATTAGGAAAAAAACTAAAA